AGTGTGATCTGCTGAAAACATAAAGTATCAGAAATATAAAAATAGGATAAGCACATGTTTGACTCCCCATGCTAAAAATACATGTTCATATTAACAAAAAAAAAAAAACAAAAAACAAGAAGATCATAGAATCATAGAATCGTAGAATCACCAAGGTTGGAAAAGACCTAAAAGATCATCCAGTCCGACCGATGTTGGACTTTTCTGTTGTCCAAAGCCTTCCTGGTACTTCTTTCTCCAAGCAGCTTTCCTCAGAGGTCCCTGAGGTGCACACTTCGTTTGGTCACGGTGGGTACGAAGTCACTCCAGTTGTGTTGGTGCTTTGCTGCACTGAAATATTTTCCAGGTTTGTTTGTTAGGTTGTTCTGGAATTAGAAGAATACGGTTTTGTTTCTGAGCCAGAGCCGTGAGTAACCACATGGGTGACTATTATTTTGCACTGATGTACATGAAATCACCTTTCTTCAGGAGCCAGCTTTGGCTTGGTGCAGTGTTTATTCAGCCCCTTTAAAAGCACATATGGACTGATGTGAAGGTGAGCAGAATTCTGCATTTCCTGCTCCAGCACCGTTGCGTAAGGGGCAGGGTTCTCCCAGAAGAGAGAATTTAAAGAAAATTACTGAGGACAATGGTGTAGAATGGAGGACAGCAGGAAGCTCCTCCAGAAGGAGAATCTCACCCCCGTCTTCCTGCATCAAGGAGGTTTAGCCAGCAGGTATGACTTTGAGCACAAGAAAACCCCAAATCAGCATCCTGTAGTGACACAGGAGGTTCTGGGCTTGCTTTATGTGTGCAGGTGGGGGTGTTGATCTGTGTCCCTCCAGATAACATCATGCAGAGTGCAGTGCTAGCCCAGTGCTTGCTCTCCCCTTGCTCCAGGTGCTGCTCAGACCATGGTGGGGACGAAAGTGCTCTCTGGGTGCAGCACCCCCAGCTCCTTGCTGGCACGCGGCTCAACAGCGTGCAGGGAGGAATGGTGGGGAAGCCAGCATTGCTGATCAGTTTTGCTACCAAAGGATCAACCACCGTGCCCCTTCCTTCTTCCTCTGGTCTCACCCAGTTGCTAAGCTGCTGTCGCTTTGCTCAGAGGTCAGTGTGCCAATCCAGTCTTTTTGGTGCGTGATGGTTCAGGTGGCACCTTTCTGAGGCAGCCCTCAGTTGGTAAGTCAGGTTGGGCAGCCCTGAGCTTTGTTTCTTTTCCCCTCCACGTCTGTTCCTGGGGGCGCAGTGCCTGCAGTGCTGTGCTGCTGCTCACCAAGGGAACATTTCTCCCACACTGTGATTTTCGGGCTCCACGTGTGTGCCCAGATTTGTTATTCAGAGTGGTGGGAGTCTCAAAATCAAATGACGGTCACCTAACTTATTATCCCGTATCACTTGTGCAGTTCTGGATGGCTTCCCAACTTTCTGTTTGGATGATTCCTGCAAAGGAGGGTTTGTTTTTTATGTGCTTGGGTGTTTTTCCAGGAAAAAAAAAAAACAAAAACAAAAACAAAAAACAAACCCTGATTTCCTAAATCCTAACATTTCTGCTTGGGAACTTTTTGGGAGAGGTCGATTTGCAGGAGTCCAGTTCTGGAGAAAAATGACATCTCTCTTCAAGTTTGTGCGCTCTGGGATGAATCCCAGCTCTGAGAGCGCCTCCCTGGAGAGCATTGCATTGACCTGGGTGCAATTAGGGCTCTGCTGTCCGGATCACAGAAGTGGCAACTCCTCGTGGTGCAAAAGGTTGAGGGGCTTGCAAATCTGGCGGTATTTATCATGCTGAATTATTAGCAAACTGGGCTGGATTGACTTGTTACCAGTTGCTGAGCCTTGTTTCCCCTCTGCAGAGGGAGCAGCGCTGCTGGGCTGGGTGCTGCTCAGGTGGAAGTGGCCTGGGCTGCCCCATGGGAACGGAACCCTTACGGGCTCACAGCAGAGCAGTGCTATGGGGGTCCCAGTTTCTCAGATAGACAGGCAGTTTTTAATGTTGTTTTTTTTACTCATTTATTAAAAAGAAATAATCTATCATTTTCCTCAGCTCCAGCTGGTGCTGCTATGGGGCTGCTGGTGCGTGCTGTAGACGGAGTTCCTTCTTTTTGACTGGAGCTGAGATGAAGAATTAGTAGTTAAAAGAATAACTACATTTTCCACTGTGATCAAGGAATTAGATAATCTGGCATGTTTGCTTAAGGGGTCTGTATCTTGGGGCTTATATAGGGCAGTATTAAAACCCTGAGCCTTCTTATTATGCCAATACCCAGAAGATTGCTTAATGAGAAGTAAAGGGCCTCTCTCCAATTACGAGGGAATAACTGTATTAAGTTCCTGTGTTATGTCAACCTGCTTTGATTTGATTACTGCAAAAGAAATGGATTTATCTGTCAGTGTTACTTAATTAAGCCTTCTCACTGATGTTTTGCAGAGTAATATAGTGTAGTTTGCACATTTAAGTCTAAATACAAAGAAAATTGGTCGCAAGCTAAGAAACAACCCCTGAAGATAAGGGATAGGAGCCATTGCTTGTCGTTTTCTGACCGGAGTCCAAAACTTCGAACTCTGGTGGAAGAACTTGAGCGCTGTGTGGGCTCAAACGAGAGCAGAGCAGTGGGCAGGAGCAGCCAGCTCCACGGTGATGCATTTCCTGGATCTCTGGAGGGATGCGATCATACAGTCATTAGGGTTGGAAAAGACCTCTGAAGTCATCAAGTCCATCTGCCAGCCCACCCCACCATGCCCACCGACCATCAGCTCCTCTTCCCTGCCCGTCCCGTTCCCTCGGTCTCCCGCAGCACTGTGCTCCAGACCCCTCACAGCCTCATTCCCCTCTCTGGACACGCTGCAGCACCTCAATGTGTTGTGACAGTGCCCTGTGCCCATTGGCAAGGTGGGAGGAACACGCATGGTGCGCCACAAAGGGCATCTGGGCAGGGCTCAGCTCTCTGGGGCATCTGGAGCATTTGGAGGGGGACTGTGGCTGTAAACACAGCTCAGAGTGTTTGCTTAGGTGACTCGTTAAAGCACCCCGGGACTTCAGCATCTGCATTCTTAAAATATAAATAAAAATGTCCCGCGCAGCAGCCTGAAAAGCTTTATGGTCACATAAATCCTGCTGCTAGCCCTGACCACGAGCCAGCGTGAGGGGCTGTGACAGCAAGTGTTATTTCAGATTAGCTGGCTTTTACATAAAATAAGCACGCTAATAAATGCAATTCCTGGTGGGTAGATGTGAGAATAATGCCTCCTTGTTCAGGAAAGCAGAGGTCCTTCCGTCAGCACTGCGCTGCGCATCGTCCTGCTCCTCCTGCAGCACCCAGCCCTGTAGCTCCAGGTCTCCATTCAGTGTCCGTGCGAAGAAGTATGGAGCAGAGGTGTGCAAAACGTTGCGGGTGGTGCCTCGTGTCAGCTTCTCTCCGTCTGCGTTTCCCTCGCTAATTTTTCTGATGGGTTCTGCATGGATTTTGGAAGCGTGAGGGTGGTACGATGCCAGTCAAAGTCAGTGGGATAATATCCATTGATTTTCAACAGGCGATGGATCAGGGCTCTATAGAGTTAATTGCCTGTTACATAACACAAATGATTTTTAAAAATATGCCTAATTAACCTAATAGAATGGTTGATCTGATCTGTCAGGTAAATGATACACATTTTCTTTCTTTTTCTGGAGCTTAATTAAATATTTACCTAAGAGTGTCTTGTGCTATTAACGCGTTCATCTGTTATTGAGATAATAGGGATTGTAACTGGGAGAAAGTATTAAACTGAGCAAACGTCTCGGCTTTTGATACTGGAAATCAACCAGATTTGGTCCCAGCACCCGCGTTTCCAAGTGCTGATGCTGGATCTCTTCTCAGCGAGCGCCTACCAGCCGTGTGGGTCTGGAGGAACCGGTGCCAGGTGGAGGGGCAGCTCCTCGCCTGCGTGGTGTTGGGGGCGCTCAGGACCTGAGCAAAACCAAACACGGATGTTTTCGGCTTTTTTTGCCTGGCAGAAGGCAAGAAATGGTGCTGAGACGTTGGTGTGCTGCACGAGGATTGTAGAGTCCGTCTCTTGGCTCCACGCGGCGCCGCCAGGATTCAAACCCTGTGCCTGAGAACGCTGCCCAGGCGCTCGCGGGTGGTGCAGCGTCTCTGTGAGCTGTGCCCTGTTTTTGGTGAGGGAGCTGTTGTCGCACAGCCGTGGAGTCGCAGAACGTCCCGTGTTGGGAGCTGCCCGTAAGGATGGTGGAGAAATGGTGGAGAGCAGCTCCTGGCTGCGCTCAGGACCGCCTGCAGGTCAGAGCAGAGCTGTGCTGCAGCTCCCTCCTTGCACCCAGTGCCGTCGCAGGGCATGCCCACGCTGCCCAGCCCTGCTGCATCATCAGATGCGCAGGAGGCATCGGTGTTCAGCCGCAGAGTTCAGAGCAGATGGCAGCAGCGCTGGTCCTTTGGTCCTTATCCCCAGCAGCAGCTTTCATCACCGCGTAGCATCGCAGAGCGGTGCTGTTCTTAAAGGCGCCCTCTGAAATGGAGGCAGGAGCCACCTAGATGCTGGTGGTCTTAAATTATTTTGGGGGGGGGTCTGCCAATGACTGCAGTAAATTTTGTGTTGATAAAGGGGAAAATAGCGACGTGCCTGCCTTGGGGGATGTGCTTTTCTTGGTGCAAATGCCAGGACAGTTTTTGGAAGTGGGATCCTAGCTGGGGTGGGGAGGAGCTGCTGTGACCCCGGTGCTCCTGAGGCGCCCGTCCCAGCTGGGTCTGTTTCCTGCGTGCTGATCATCCCTGGTGCAGTGCTCGCTGAGCTGCCAGGGCTGCTTTTGCTCAGACCTCGGGGTCCTGAGGGTCCGTCTCATTGCTGCTGTGAATTTAAATGAGTTAATTTAAGCAGTGGGTCAGAAGCCACTACCGTCGTAGTAGCCCCGTGCCTGATTCTTAATTAAAGGCAACAGGAGATTAATTTGAAACATTAATTTAAAAGTGCCTATACAAAAGGAAAGAATTATTGCAATAAAGCCTAAAGAACTTTTTTGTCCCTAGATGTAGAAGACAGAACTAGCTCAGGGTCCTGGGGGAATGCAGGACATCCTAGTCCATCCAGGGTAAGTATATCTAATCTTTTTCCCCAAACCAGACTTCCTGCCTATGTAAATTCACAATCTTAACTACGAGTCTTACACCTGATTGCATAGAGGAACGGGCATGCAAAGTTGGCTGTAGTTTTGTCTTCCCTTTGAAACCTTTTTTTTTTTTTTTAATTTTAATATTCATGCCCGATGCTGTGACTGAATCTGGCACCTGCTGCAGATAGCAGGAGTTCCAGTTCTGTCTGGCCAGCGACACGGAGCAGCACTGCGGGTGCTGAGCGCCCTGTGAGCTCCGTTTTGGGTTTCTGCGTGCTGGCACCCCCAAATTGGGCACAGCCCCCCTTCCTGGGGGGAGTCCCAGCCCCGCCATGCACACACTGCTATTTCCTAGCTGGGCAGAAAGTGCCCACGCTCTCACTCATGCTCCCATTTACCCAGTTTGTTTAAATTGCATTTTAATTGTTTTCTAATTAATGCGAAGGATCCAGGCTGGTGCCTGGGCTCCTCCTTCCCCACAGGGCAAATTTCTGGGTGGTGTCCAATGTGAGGGGTCCCCAAACACCCCTGGGGGGACCCAACCCCACACCTTTTCTCCTTCTCCCCCTGCCCAGCATCCGCTGCGTCATCGCTGCTCACATCTGTCAGTTTTATTTTTATCCCCTTTTTTCGGGCTTGACACTTGTATTGCTTCCTGGGGAAAAATGTTTTGAAAAGTAAATTCGAAATTTGCACACACCATTATTTATGCATGCAAAAACTTGAATGTGAGCTTACAATTACGTTCTGGGATGTAAAGAAAAGAGCGTGAGCCTGGGGAGAGTTGTGGAGTTTCAATCAGGCCGCACGTGGGCTCACACACAGCCTGACCTCGCCAGTTCCTCTTTGTAAAGCAGGGCTGGTGTTTCCACGGCAGGAAAATGGGTTTCTTGTGCCTGCCTCTGAGCCCAAGGAGCAGAACACGGCTTGCAGTTTGCAGCAGATAAGACTGAGCTGCTCGGAGGGGGCAGAGGGCTGTGCTGAGTGCGTGAGTGCTGAGCCCCAAAGCACTGCTTGTGTGCACAGACACCGAGCCCAGGAGGGGCTGCTTCCTGGACTCACAGAATCCTAGAATGGCCTGGGTTGAAAAGGAGCACAGTGCTCATCAGTTCCAACCCCCTGCTATGTACCAACAGCAGCCCAGGCTGCCCGGAGCCACATCCAGCCTGGTGCTGAATGCCTGCAGGGATGGGGCATCCACAGCCTCCTTGGGCAACCTGTGCCAGTGCCTCACCGCCCTGTGAGTGAAAAACTTCCTCCTAATATCCAACCTAAGCCTCCCCTTCTCAGTTTAAGGCCATTCCCCTTGTCCTGTCACTGCCCACCCTCACAAACAGCCGTTCTCCCTCCTGCACATGCCCTTTGAGTGCTGGAAGGCCACAGCCAGGTCTCCCCACAGCTTTCTCTTCTCAGCGTTGTGACACTTTGCACACCCACAACATGCAGTCGTATGTACGTAGCAGTGAGGTGCTTAGGACAGCAAGTTCCTACGTCAGAATCAAACTGAGAAGCAGAACGTTGAATAAATACCTAATTCCTGCTCTTGCTTGTGCTGTGGGCAAGAAGGCAGTGTGCTCAGGGAGGGCCGCTGCAGGACTGCACAGCGCAGGAGCCTCTTCTCTTTTTGCCCGCTCAGGATTACACGAGAGCAAACCAAAGTCAATTACTAACGAAATAAAAATTGGAAACAGCTTTAAAAATGCTCTGTGACGCATCACTTTCCGCGGAATAGATAAACAGCAAGAGGAGAAGTAATTTGTGTGGCCGACTTGAAGCGTAGGAGGGAAGCGTGGACCTGTAGGTTTTGAGAAATGCCATTAAAATGTGTAAAATTGTGTTTTTCTCCCCAGAACTATGGAGATGGGACTCACTATGATCATATGGCGAGCAGAGACCTCGGGTCACATGACAATCTCTCTCCTCCATTTGTCAATTCCAGAATACAAAGTAAGACACCGGATTTCCTGATTTGACTCCGTTGTTGAGATAAGTGAATGGTTTTGGAAGTGCTGAGCTCAGAGGAAAGCTCCGAGGGCGTAAAATCCCTCGTCCTCATTTCTGGGGCTGCTTGTGCAAAGGGTGGGAACGCGGGTTTGTTTTTTTCGGCCGCAACGCCGTTTCAGAACGTTCAGGAGTTCCGTTTACTGACCAGGGCTGTTTCTTCCTCCGCGAGGGGGATGTGGGTTTTGATGTGGTGACTGCAGCGTTGCTGGAGGAGGTGCACGTACGTGTCCTAAGGCAAAGCCTTTCCTTTCTGGAGATGCGACCAGCTGGCAGCGGAAATCAGGACGTGCTCTGAGCGGGACTGAGCAGAATAGAAAGGGCTTTCTGAAAGTATTCCGACTGTACGTTCACAAAAGGAAAGGGATCAATGGCAGTGGGGGGACACTGGAGCCTTTGTTTGCTTTGGAGCGCGCTGGGTGCTGCCTGCTGGGACCTGTGCGCAGCCTCCCGCGGCTGGGATGCTGGGAGCAGCAGGTCTGCTCTGCCCGCCGCGCTGCCCCTCTCCCTCCTCACCCCCTGTGATAGAAATCTGTGACGCCCTTGCATCCCGTTCGGCGGGGCTGCAGTTACTTGTAAGCCAGTGATAGCGACTTTTTTTTTTTAGTTGCGGCTGATAAATGAGTTCGGTTAAAGTAAATATATGATGTAAAAATATTAGTAATGTTTGCGCCCGGCCAGGATCACACCCTTCTTCTGCGGCTGTCAGTGAACGAACCGAATGCGTTGCTATAAAGGGTTGAGTGCGAGCCAAAGAAAACATGGGGCTGTAACTGCGATACATCATTCTTCAGCTCCAATATACGTCCCTGAAATATGCCTCGTCTTTTAATACTGGGAAATATTAGTGAGTTGTTTAACATATGGGGCAGTGTTGGAGCTTGTAGTCATTTGTACGTACTCACATCCACGACACGGTTACAACAGTTTTAGAGGCTCCAATACGTGCCAAAAAAAGCATGGAAATTTCAACACTCCCTTCTTAACTCACGCCATGGGGCTTTAGGTGGTGCACAAAGGCACTTCACAAACAGCCATGCACTTCTGTGCAACCCACTGGGCCGTGGGGTGCTTTCAAGTTTAACCTTTAATTTGGATCTGAAGAACCTAAAAGTCGCTTCTGCCTGCCCTTGGGTTACAGAAAAACCTCATTCCTGCCTGATTGTTTTTGCCGTCTCAGTGAAAATACTGGTTTCGCCTGATTGAAGAAATAGTTGTTTTCTAGAGGTGCGTTCAGAGTCAGAGGGAATTCAGACCCTGGGGATTCCAGTGACAAATTCTGGATCCTCACTGTTGCTTGGAAGTCCCGTTGGTCTCCAGCAGAGTGGTTTGCGTGGCCTCTGCTCACCTGGAGGCGGACTCTGTGCTGGAGGTGTCTCCTGCAGCCCTTGTGTGAGCCAGGATCGTGTTGGTGACCTGCCGGTGCATCTTCCTGAGGCACCTTTATTTTTGCCTGTTGATGCAGTCTGGAATTTTGGGCTGGCAGTATGGCCGGCAACGCTCTGCTCACACCAGCTGTTATATGTGCAAGCCTGTGTGACTGAAAAGGAGCCTGAGTGCTGCCAGGACTGCTGCCTGCCTCCTGCAACCCACAGCCACGGCTCAGCCCTCCTCTCCAGCAGTTGGGTGCCCTGCTCCTCAGCTGTCCAGATGGGCAGCAGAGCTGGTGGGGCTGTGCCGTGGGTGCCGTGGTGCTGCTGCTGTGTTCTTGGATGCAGGATGTCGGTACTGGAGGAGCTGGGGACACAGGGCTGTGTGGATGTTTCCCTCCCATGGAAACGCTGTGGGGAAGCTCAGCTCCATTTCTACTGTTTGAGACTAGACCACGGACCACGAGTGCCGCTGATGGGGTGGCTGATGCTCATGAAGTGCTGCATTAACAGAGATGTCTACGAGATCATGCTGATCACGCCTGCGTTGGTGACTTGGGAAGGATTCTGAACATTGCTGCCACGAAGGTGCACGCTGCACCTTAATGAGGGCGTCCTGACCCCCAGCTGCCATTTTTCCAGATATGTTGTGTTACTGCTCCATTCCTGTCCCCAGCACCACGGGTGCTGCGTGGACTGTGCCTGCAGAGGTGGGCTGTGCAGTTCACTTCATGCTCTTCCTCTTGGCAGCTGATGAGGAGCCTCTGATTATCACCTGCCCCGACTCGGTCTGGTGCTGTTGTGTGCTGCTGCCTTCCATGGAGCTGCTCCTAAGAGGGAAGCAGCAGCCGAGGGAGGGCCTGGCTTTATTGCTTTTAAATAGCACGATCGATGCATTGATTAAACACATCTGGCTTGTCTTTGCAACTAAGCATTTATTATTGCTAATGCTGAATCAGAAGCAGGCTAGATAGCTGTGGGATTAATGTTAAGTTTTACAGAAAGCACTAAAAGGCAGCTCATTGGATTTCACGTGCTGCTTCTATCCATGTGCTGCTTTTAGAGAAGGCGGTTGGCCCCAGCGCTGTGCTGAGAACATTTGTCTGGGCTTCTCTCTGCGCTGATTTGTGCTCGTGTCGGGGGCTGAGCACATGCTGGCCTGCAGCAGAAAGCCCTGGAGCCCCATGCACTGCTGGGCTGCAGCTGGGGCCCTGCAGAGCGGCTGCTGGTGGAGGCCATGTCCTGCGGACAGGCTGTGCCCACCTGAGGGCTTATGTTGTGTTTTAGTTATTTTTGAGATGGACTTTCCTGCAGGGCAGCAGAAGTCACCGTGCTGCTTGCATGGTGCTCAGTTCCTCAGGCTCCTCCTGGAAGTGTTGTGCAGTTTGAACACTGCTCACCGTGCGTGCTCCTGAAGCCCAGGTGTTCTGTGGGTGTTTTTATGTGCTTGGGAGTAACCACAGAGTGCTTCCTTGGCCTGAAAAGAGCAGTGTTGCATGGGGCAGTGGCTACGCTCGACACAGCACTGGTTCTCCTCCCTCCCCATTTCCACATACTCCCTTGCTGAGCATTTTCTGTCATCTTGCATCAGACACCTTACTGGCACGTGAGGCTACGTTCCAGTGCTCTGTAACTTGTTTCCAGCTGCCTGTAGCTTAGCGGAGCACTTTGCTGCAGGGGTCAGATGGAGGCTTCAGGTGCTGTGGGAGAGCTGCTGGCATGCAGAGTGACCTGAGTCTCCCGGGCTGGAGGCTGGAGGCTGGAGGCTAGAGGCTGGGTTGGTGTCTGTGCTGTGGCAGCTGCTGGCTCGCTGAGCTCAGCTGTGCACACAGGGATGTGCTGTGGGGCAGTCCTGGCTGCCGCAGTCTGGGGATGGGGAGCACTCAGCCTGGGAGAGAGCTTGCCCTGACACAAGTGGAGTGTAGTACAAATAGGAACAGGGGAGAGTAAAGTATAAGTGCCCTCTTATTCTGCAGCGTGGAGCCTGCAGCCAGCATGCTTCTCCCTTCCAGCTGCAGGACTTGTGGTGCTCGTAGTGGTGTGATGCGATACCGAAGTCCTGCCCTGCCTGCTGCCTGCGGTGCCGGAGGCGGCTGTTGAGGCGCTGCTTTGAGCCTTGGGAGGATGTGGCTCAGTGGGCACCGTGGGGACGGATTGGCAGCTGGACTGGAGGATCTCCGAGGTCTCTTCCAACATTTGCGATTCTCAGATTCTTTAGGAATGCGTATTGTTTGATTTCAGTAGGAGCTGGCTGGTGATGTAGTATGCAAAGACAAGCCTGTTTCTATTGCTAAGCATGAAGTGAGGAATGGATGCAGTGACTTGGGCTTTCTTCCCTCCTAATTGCTGCCTCAAATCGGCTTAGCCGTGCTGGGGCTGGAGGCTGGGAGCCGGCAGTCCGGCGGCACGGCTGCGCTGCTGGTGGACAGTGTTGGAGGGAGCCTTTCTATTTATCTGAAGAATGCGTGCCGTGTGTTTTGTGAGGATATTGTAAGGTTTGATAAATTACTGTCTGGAAAACATCCTGAGTTCCTTGGATACTCCGTGTACATGCCAAATTTTAATATTATTTTTAATGCTGTGATAGCGCTCGTCTCCGTATGAATATTGCTGCGGTATTTGCTTTTAATCTGTTCGGCCTTGATTCAGTTACTGTTATTATAAGAACTGGAATTTTTGCAGATTAGTTAAGTTTACCCAACACGGCATTATAAGGCCTTGCTTTCAATTGCTAAACTATAAACATTAGGGATGAAATTTTCCATGCTGTGTATCTGACTCAGCCCGATTATTATTTTTTTAACCTTCCGCAGAAATGATTTCAACATTTCCTAAAACGAGGTTACATTTCATCCTGGCAGATTTTTGATTTTCTCAGTTAGCGCCTGGCACGTCGGGAGCTTTAATTCTTTTTTTGCACCGCTCCTGTCGTGTCAGGTGGCTTCAGGTCCTCGTTGGCAGCTGGAGGGGTGGGGGTACAAGGAGGACAATGTCAGAAAGTGTCCCAGCGGTTTTCAGTGCGGAAGGTTTTGATGGTCTCTCCATTGTGCTGCTTGCCTTTGGCCGTCGCAGCGTGGGCACACATGCTCAGCAGTCGCCTGTTTGTGCCGGTTTGTCCGTAGCGCTGCTGTTCCCTCGGTGCTGTGCAGTTGGTTGGTGCTGCGGATGGGGTGTGGGTCAGAGGAGCCTGACAGCCCGCGGTGGGAAGGAATTGAGACGTGACTATTAGACGCGCCAGAAATAAATTCCATATGACGTACGGGAAGAAGCACGGGACGTTTTTCTGAATAGCAGTCAAAGATGAATTTTCAGGAATCACAGAAAACCCGTTCTCCAGAAAAATCTGCAGCCGTCCGTCTGGCGGTAGCGCCGACTGAGGTGACTTGCGGCAGCAGCAAGTCTGAATCCTGTAACTGTAAAGGTCAGCAGAAGCCTTCAGAAACCAAAGGACCGGAAATCCGAGGCTCCGGTTTCTGTTTAAAGAGCTGTGCTGGTGCAGCGAGGAACCTGCGGGTGCGATGCGACCCCACAGCTCAGGTATGTGGGTACCCAGTCCCCAAAGGAAACCGGAGTGGC